ATATACGTGTGTGTGTGTACATATAGGTTTGTTTATATATAAAGACACACATACAGAGAGAGAGACACACATACACTCACACTCTCTCACACTCTCTCACACACTCACTTACTCACTAACATACATACACACAAACACACATACATACACAACACACGCATACACACACAATATATATCTATACAAAAACACACACACATGCGCGCACACACATTTGCATACACATACATATATAAATATATATATCCCGCTATTTCTGTCTCCAAATGGCTCAGCCTCATTCGTCTACCATAAACTAATATATAAACTTATTCGTTCTATCTACGTATCACGAATAAATAGACATATATACGTACCATTTATATTGTACGAATATATAGGTATATAACTACTATGCGTATAATACGGATGGATAGACATCTTCGTGCGTTAAATGGCTCGATTAAAATTTTAGTATTGCAAATTGACTGCCAACTATACACTCTACTCCGCGATGCACTGCATACAGTTCTGTACTCGTAATTGCTGTATGATACTACCCTCCATTTTCTATCTGCCGATATCCTCAGCCTCACATATCAACCTGTACAACTCTGGGCATATAGGGTCATACATGCATGTATACTACATTCTGGTCATATGCTTAGCTATAGTGTGTGTCGACTGCATTCTGGTCATATGCTTAGCTATAGTGTGTGTATACTGCATTCTGGTCATATGCTTAGCTATAGTGTGTGTATACTGCATTCTGGTCATATGCTTAGCTATAGTGTGTTTATACTGCATTCTGGTCATATGTCATGCTCAGCTATAGCATGTGTATATGCGTGCGCTCCCTTTTATTTGCCCTCAGGTGGACTGAGTCTAACTCAGTTGTTGCTCGAGTCAGAGATTACCGAAGCAGCCGCCCTTATTCGACAGTTGGCGGGGTCTATAAATCAGGAGATATCCATGACGGTAAGTATATCCGAATACCGAAAAAACAACCCCCTGCTCACAGACTAACAGGTGTTTATTTGCTATTTGTGGACTAAACAACCTCCTGCACACAGACTATCAGGTGTTTATTTGCTATTTGTGGACTAGTACACGGGCATACAGTGTTTGCACACGTACACACATATACATAGCAGCATGTACTGTGCACGTCTGACGGATATATCAGACTTTTGAATCGATAAATCAGGAGGTGTCTTTGACGGTATGTTTGTCTGTACTATAATACTACATTTTCATTGGGATCTGGCCGCAGGACTAAACTCTCCCTAATATTAATGTTCTATAAAGAGCACCCTGTTCTATTTATAGCCTTAGGATGTAGCTGGTCTACTTCCCTTGTTCTTCACTGTTCTATAAAGAGCGCACTCTGTTTTATTTATAACCGTAGGATGTGATTGGTCTACTTTCCTTGTTCTCAACTGTTCTATAAATAGTACATACTGTTCTATTTATAACCATAGGATGTGACTGGAAGGCTCTACTACCTTAGTACTCAATTGCTACGTTTATTCTGCAATTTGTTCCAACTTATAGTTCTAGGATGTGGTTTTATGCTGTTCTATAAATACTGCATCAGGCCCATTCAAAATTTAGGATATGGTTGGTGGGCCATATTATCCTTGTACTCAACTGTTCTATTAATAGCACACTTTGTACTATTTATAGCTTCAGGATATATTTGGCGGTCTCGTACTCAATTGTTCTATTAGTAGCACACTTTGTACTATTTATAGCTATAGAATATGGTTGGCGGGCTCGTACTCAACTGTTCTATTAATAGCACAATTTGTACTATTTATAACTTCATGGTTGGTGAGCTATATTCCCCTTGTACTCAACTGTTCTATTAATAGAACACTTTGTACTATTTGTAACTTTAGGATATGGTTGGCGGGCTCTACTACCTTGGAACTCAGCGTCGGTGGGAACGAGGCAATGATCCCGAGGCCGAGCATCGAGAGCACCAGGACTGTCCACCTATTAGCGTATGTACTAGTGTTCTTGACCTGTTCATTTATATACTTCTAGGCTCATGGAGTACATAACTGTGTTTGCCTCCACTATATATATATGTATATATATATATATATATATATATTAATTATCTAAATACGTATATGTATATACATACATATATACAAATATATATATATATAGGTATATTCTCTAAATTCGAATATGCAAGTAAATATTTGCTGTATGGCTGTGTTTATATGGCTGCCACTGGATGCGCATCTACATTGTGTCTACATGAATGGTATTTCATGTCTGTAGCGATGAGAGCGCTCGTGTGAGTGTCCGAGTATTCCGTCAACGGCTTCTGCTGTGAAATCATCTCACCACAGCTGAGACGTGTCACAACAAAAGAGGAACATTTGAGGTGCACATCACTCTACAGTAGAGAGAAGCCCCGTCGCACCACAGCTAGTATAGGATAAAGTAGGAGAACTATCGGAAGCAGATAGACACTCGGTCGAAAGCAGGTCGAAATGCACGACCATTTTACCTTCACACCTTATACGCACACGGAGTCCTTCTCACTTGATGCACCGTCAGCCTGTAAATAGCACTACCAAAAACAGTGCTACTATAAATTGCAGTACTATAAATAGCACTACTATAAATAGCACTTCCATAATAACACTACTATAAGTAGCACTACTACAAAGGTTGCTACTCTGGAACTCCCAAACGTGTGTACCGCGTGTGTCGACAATGGGCGGCCTCTGAGATCAGCGCCTGTCTCATTTACGTATCTCAGCATCAGGTTGCTCAGACACATCTACACACGCACTCACGCACTCACCCATACACGCGCAGATGCACGCAACTTCTTGTATGTTATATCCTTGTATATTGCGTGTCTGAATACAGCCAGAGGTGCTCTCCGATACTGCTAAAAGCACGTAGCACGCATACTAAGGATGACCTAAGAGATGCTCCGAGGTTACAAGCGAAATGTATACTGACAATGCCACTTAATCAGCCATACCTCCATACTTCTGTATAGGTACATGTATACAAACATACCTTGTTATCCCGATAATAGATGCTCCCTTATATATATTTATATATGTAGTGTGTGTGTGTGTGTGTATATAAAATCTCTCGACGTGATGGATAACTACATGCACATTCAGATGTTCCCTCTCTTTATCATACACAATTTGTATTTCTGTATTGGTACATGTATACAAACATACCTTACTAACCCAAAAATAGACGCCCCTTATCTCTATCACACACTTGTCGGTGAGTATAGCCTCAGGTACATTGCCCCTGTGCAGAAGTGGCTCTAACCGCGGGGAAGATAGCTTACGAGACACATTGAGTTCACACGTGCATGTATGCTGGCAGACTCATTTAGGGGCCTAACCCCTCAACCCTAAACCCTAAACCTTAAACCCTAAGCCCCTTTTAATTTGTGTGCATCCCCGTATAGGGAAAGTATACTCCCACGGCTGATGTTCCAGATCATAGGCTGATAACCCCTAACCCCTACACCCTAAAACCTTATCCCACACACTCTCTGCGTATAGCCAGAGGTGCTTCGCCACTGTCAAGAGTTGGCCCCGCACGCACTGAAGATTGCGTACAAAACGACTGAGGTCGACATACAGAGACTTCTGAGCCACATAGGGTAGTATGAGTGTGTTGCATGTGAGAGTGTATGTATGTATGTACGTGTGCTTGTGTGTGTGTGTATATGTGTGGGTGTGTATATGTATTTATTTGTGTGTGGGTGTGTGTATGTATGTATGTACGTATGTCTGTGTGTATGTATGTATGTGTGTGTGTGTAGGTATGTGTATGTATTTATGAGTGTGTGGGTGTGTATGCGTGTGTTTATGTGTGGTTATGCGTATGTATGTATGTGTGTGTGTGTGCGTGTATTTGTGTATGTGTGTGTGGATGTGTGTATGTGTGTATGTGTGTGTGGGCGAGGCTGCGTTTGTATATAACTATACTATCCTATGTGAGGTGATAATCCTTGCTGCAAGATTGCTGCGGTACACATTCACGTGCTGGTATGCCTATGCCACACCGAATGAGTGAAATATGCAAGTACATAGGCTGACAGGCAGAGGGGGTTGAGCTAAAACCTTAAAACCCTAAACCCTTGAAACCCTGAAACCCTAAAATTATATTGCCATGAAACCCTAAAGCCCTAATACCCTAAAACCCTAAAACCCTAAAACTGTGTGTGTGTTGTATTTGAACGTGTGTGTATGTATGTGTGCGAGCGAGTGTCTGTACGCGTTTGCTAGTGTGTGTGTATAGCTATTTATGCGTGTGACCGTATATTTGTGTGTGTGTGCTGGTGGGTGCCTACGCTTTATCTGGTGTGGTGTGTTTGTGCGGCGGCTGTGGTGGTATGTGAGCACGTGGTCCGTTTTCTTCGATGAAATATTGGGAATCAATCCTGGGTGTACTTTCTCAGTACAATACAAACGAACTGAATATTGATATATGGGAATTCTCGCTATACACTTGAGCAAATGAATCGACATGACTTTCACTCTACACCTCATATTGGTATATCACGCAGTAGTAGCATGTATATAATGTTTAGCTGCGGTTTGCAATCAAGAGATGCAGTCCCTACAACTAGTCACATGTCTTCGTACGCTTGTATTGTGTTGTGTGTATTGTGTAGTGTGTATTGTGTTGTGTGTGTGTCATATTGCTGGCACGAGCTCCTACTATACGCTTTGAAGTTCATGTACTATATGTGATAAACGTCTATTTACGACATGATTCATTTATGTCCTATATATATTATTAAGTTCCTATTTACAACATGTCTCATTTCACATGTATGGTAGCATATGTGTTGTACTATATGTGATAAAACTTCTATTTACGACATGATTCATTTATGCATCTTATGTATCACATGTATTATTAAGTTCCTATTTACAACGTGTCTCATTTCACATGTATTATTAAGTTCCTATGTCTCATTTCACATGTATTGTAGCATATATGTTGTACTCTATGTGATATAACTTCTAGTACGGCATGATTCATTTATGTACCATATATATTAAGTTCTTATCTGCATGTCTCATTTCACATGTATTGTAGCAAATGTGATAACACACTGCATGTACTATTGCCTCATTCATATAATACATGTATTACGATGTATCTATTTTATACTGCATGTAATATTGCCTCATTCATATAATATTACGATGGATCTGTTTCATACTGTAGGTACGAGTTGCTGTTTGCCGCGACCACCTCCTCCGAGTTCAAGCCTGCGCATTATGTGGCTGTCAATCGAACGAAGAAGAAGGCTGTGCTAGCTGTCCGGTGAGTTTTAAGGAAATGGCTTGTCAGCTTTTTATGCAAGTGTATCAATAAGTAGTAATATA